ATTTCTACTTCATCAGCTTAAGCTGAACAATGAATTATATGGCAGATGAGCCACAGAGTGGCTGCTTCAGCAGCTGGGTGGCACCAGGGCTCTGTACCGCTACGCAGCTTCTTCTCCCAAAAGCAGAGGTGAATGGGTAATGTGACTGCCACCTAGGAACCAGCAAAGCCTGGAATTCAGTCGCTTCCCTGACTTAAGTGGTTGCACTCATAAAAGCCCATCCATGATAGTCAACAGAACAGGAAGTTTTAGCGTCCAGACATTTGTGAAGTAAAAGCATCTATGAAAACTTATTTTTTTTTTTTCCTAAAGCAGCCTTAGGATCAAAATGCATTAAGTCTCAGTTTCTGGCCATAAGTCACCACTGGATACTCAGCTGCATGTAACCTTCCACAATTACTCCTTCTCCTCATGCACGAGAGGAACCAGAACAATTTGCTCAACATGAACATTGCAGTACTCATCATCAAACATCACTTTGTACTGGGGAAGACACTTCCCGGTTTTGTTGCACGAATGAACAAATCCTTGATTTCTGCCAAAGCTGGGGTGGTCCCAAAGAGGCACACTAGGATTATGGCAACATTGCTGACAAATTTCCATGCGTTTTTACACATTAAGGAATAGAAAATTGGTTCCAAAGGGCAGAACAGTCTCCTCCATGCTGAAGTTAAAATTGGTTGTCCATGTTACCACCAAAGCCAAATGCTTAACTGACTTTTGTAACAGAGAAACTTGCAGTATGCCTGGTGTTCCTGTCGCCCTGCTCTGTTGAGCAGCGGGGAAATAAAGCAGCAAGCAGCCTACCCTTGTCCCGAGGCTTACACCACATCCAGCCTGAAGAATACTGAAATACTCCCTAAGATGCTTATAAAACACAGCAACGGTTAATACTCCCACACTTATGCACGTTGTTAAACTTGGCCAGATATAGCTGAATGAGAGACAAACCTAAAGAAAAAAAAAAAGAAGGGGGTTTAAAATATTTCCAAAATATATCTTTTATTTAGAGGGAGGATATCCCATGAGCTCTTCTTTCTTAGACGCATGACTAGGATAACCTCTAAAACCACCCAAAGCCAAAAATAATCCCAGGATGTCTCTGCCTTCAAGAGCCATGCAACCAAAGCATCAAGTCCAGCGTTAAAATCCGTTTAAGACCAAGCCAACACCTTATCTAATAATTTGAGAAAACCACTAATTAAAGGTGATAACTTCTAGTAAAGAAAACATCACACATACATTTTTTTTGGTCTGTTTTGAGACAAGTTAACCGTAGTTACCTAATACAGATAGATATTGCTGCCTCCATAGTGATATAGGTGTTCTTGCTGCTGCATAGCCTTAGGTGATGGTTACAACAGCTGTGCTGAGGAGTAAAGCAAGCAGATTTTTTCCCAAAATTAGAAATATACAATTTCCAAAAATGGGAGCAAAAGACAAAAGGTAATGAAAAATGCTGCTGAAGAAAGGTTTAATTAAAAAAATCAGGAATTCAACAGTGCCTAAATCTTTATTTTTCATAACCTACATATTTTTTTTTTCAAATTAGACAGTTTTACATTTTATGACACAAAAGGAAACTTAAATTACTGATAGTTTACATGTAAGCTTGATTCCAGTCTTAATGGAAGAAGAACAAAAACAGAAACCCTCAAGAAGGCTCCCATATTACACTTCTACTTCGTGAATTGGCAGCTGTTAGGTCTCCTCAGAAATCTTGGATTGTCTGCTGCTATTAGTGTAATAGGTTACAAAGCACATAAAAATCCCTAAGTGTAGCTAGCTGAAGGAGACACAGAGATAGGTGTGCACCATTACAGTCAGCTGTTGCTCCTGATACACCGCACCACACAAAACAGGGGCCCGTCTCTGCAGGCTGCTGAAGTCTTTGAACAATAATGCAGCAACGTGAAAAAATTCAGCTGCCACTGTTCACAGATTTCTAAGTGGCAAGTGACAGCATCATGGTAGGGGACTGATCTGAAACAACACTAGGTTTTAAAAGCAACCTTTGTTTTTTTTAAAATTCCTGGAAGAAGTCTCAGATCTCATTTTGCCTTAGTGTCCAAAACAAAAAGCATCACCACACAGCCCTAACAAGGAAAAATGCCAATTTTAATTACTGTATCCCCGAACCTTTAACTCAGCTACTGTTTTGGGGAGATTTTTCATTTGAAAAGCCACAGTTTAATCTCTCTCTGTATCGTAGCAACAGTCTGCATGCAACTCCACAACTCTACTCTGAGAACTCCATTTTGTCACTAAGTGGAATAAAAAAAAAAAAAGTAACTGCAGTAAGGATAAGTCATATAATACACGGCTATTTGGTATGTCACTTTTTTTTTTTTTAAAAAAAAAAGCTATAAAGACCACATCAGAGGAAGGTTTAAATTTTGGATGCAACAGACTGTTGCTGGGTAAGCAGGAATTACAGTGTATTGACCTAGCACAAATGGCAGCAGAACGCATCAGAAGAGCACAACGCACCCCGCTGGCCTCGGCCGCTCCCTCCGGCACCGGCTGGGTACCGTGACCGGCCGCAGGCAGCCGCTGCACGGAACCACTCGTGGCTGTTTGCAGCTGGTCACCTTGCACTTGCAGCAGACAAACACCACGAATCATACAGCCCCAGCCTAACCCAAACACAAACCTAGCTACCCTTTTCACTGCCACTGGGGAAAGGAGAAGCGTCCTGCAAATCCAATGACAGAACTACTCGGGCAGTTTTGGTGACGGTGTCAGATTCCTATCTCCTCCCACAGCATTCACAAAGTGCGCTTTAGAAACAAACAAAAAAAAATCGACACATTCCAGCATGCCCTATTTTGACCAATTCTGCAGCATACAACAGGCTGGATTTAAAAGGTCAGCTAGTTACCAATTGATGCTCGCAATAGGAGATTCATCAGGAGTCAATTTCTATAGTTATTTTACAGTTCTATGAATCATATGCTAAGGAAAGCACTGATATTCTTGAAAGCAGACAAGTAAGCTTCAGTGTATATTTTTGTAGCAGTCTCAAGTTTTCTTCCAATTAAATTTGACTTTATTAATGACTTGAAATGACAGTTTGACTGCTGAAATTCACTATTTACATTGAAGAACACTTCTGAATTGGTTAAATCACTTGTTTTAAGAGGGACTTGGGAAAACGTTTGAGAGCTTTCAAATAAGACTTTCATTCCATTTCCCTTTTGCAGTGAAGAGGCAGAGTCAGTTCAGCACACCAGAATAAAATAAGAAAAGGAAAAAACAACAAATTAAAGTAATATTTCAAACCACAACATTTAGTTTATCTACATCCAGCTCAACAGCAACATTTATAATATCAATAATTTTTATCAGATTTTTTTCTTTAGGGTACCTTTTTATATGTTCTGATTATTTACAACTGTACAAGCAAAGCACACACTTCCAAGTGCACATATTTAATACAGTATTGACTATTTGCATTTACAGGTTTTTCAACAATCTGAAAAAGATCAACTGTTTAAGATCTTTAAGGTATATTACAAAAACTGCTGCTAATTCCTGCACTACAGTATGTTTACCCAGTAAGACCAGTGACAATAGATACATACTGTAACTGAGTAATTCTGTATTCCACTCACGCTAACCCTCCACGGGGTCAGACCTCATTAACTCTAAGCTGTCTTGTACAAAAGTTAAGGCAAAGTCATTTTCAAGTTTAAATAAAAATTCAAGTCTTTAAATATTGGATGGAAATAATTCTTAAAAAAAATCAGTTGCTTAAATAAACATTTTTGTGGAATAAACTGTACTGTCATAGTCAGCA